TCTTATTCCTGGTAACATAACGACAGAAAATGACAAAGTAAGAAAGTTCTGGTCCTGAACCCGATTTTTGATCCGTCTGTCTCCAGTTTATCCCCATGCCTGTGCTGTATGGGGTCTTTCTTTACATGGGGGCTTCATCTCTCAGAGGCATTCAGGTGAGCTCAAATCACACCTGCTAGTGTTTAAAAAGAAGAACTTATAGTCGAGAAACAAAGCTTTAATGTTGGTCTTTTTGCAGTTCTTTGACCGTCTCAGGCTGTACTGCATGCCGGCCAAACATCAGCCAGACTTCATCTACCTTCGTCATGTCCCGCTGAGGAAGGTGCATCTCTTCACCATTGTCCAGCTCAGCTGCTTGATCCTCCTCTGGGTCATCAAGACCTCTAAAGCCGCCATCGTCTTCCCCATGATGGTAACCAGACTGTATGTGTGTATGCATGTATGTGTGTGTGTGTGTGTGTGTGTGTGTTTTAGTACGTGTGATTGGTTGATGTCTGTTTTTTTCTGTCTCAGGTCTTGGCTTTGGTGTTCATTCGGAAGCTGCTAGACTTCATGTTCACTAAGAGGGAGCTGAGCTGGCTAGACGACCTGATGCCCGAGTGGAAGAAGAAGAAACTGGAGGATGCAGAGCAAGAGGTGCATTAATGGACTCTAATTAATACAATCAAAAAAACAACTCTGAAGACTTTAAATTTGAACTTCTGCAGCACAAAGCTTGTATCCATCCAAGGCTTTTCTCTTTTGACCCTTTCTGCAGGATGAGCACAGTATTATCGCAGAAGAAGAAGGCATAGTACAAGTACCGCTAGAGGTCAACTTAAAGTAAGTCTAAAAACGTTTCTTTTGAACAAAACAATTCAGATCAGAGAAGGCTTTCTTAATGATTTATTTATTTAAGGACAAAATATCTTAAAACTTAATTTTTCTCAATTGTTTTCAAAGACTGAACAGCTAACAAAGCAGTATTTGATTCTTCATATAAACATGTATTTAAAAAGATTAGTCCCTGATGTTAGATGTCTGTCGGTAGTAAAACTTTGATGAAATGTTTCATTTGATAAAAACATGTTTATGCTTTTTATTTTACTTCTGTGTGTTTTTTATTTTTAAAGGGGCGACCCAGCCACCGTGAACATCACTGATGAGATGTCCAAAGGATCCTTCGGGAATGTGTGGAAGAGTGTCAACCCTACGGAGAGCACAAAGAAGGAACCAAGCGCTAAAAGGTTAGCCAACTCATTCACTTTATTATCATATATCAAGATCTCAATTCATCAATGTCAAGGGGGAAATTGTCTCTTTTGGTGTTAACGTGAGCAGTGGCAGGTGTTTGTTATTAAGAAGTTATGGAACATTTACTTTGTGTTTTCCCAGGAAACTGAGGAGCTAGTATGTTTTTACAAAAGGGGTTTAATCTAAGAGCAGCCCTGCCCCTGCAGATTTCCCACAGAGTAGACTAACATAGTGTCTCCTGCCTGCCTCTCTCATTCCATCCCACTCCTAAAGCTCCCCTACCTAACCTCTCAGAAGCTGAAATCCCAAAGGTGAGTTATTCCCAGTCCCTGTAAGCATGAAGAGTCTTGTAATGTGTTTACTGCTGCTGTCTGTTGAATGCTGCATGAGGAAAACGGTGTTGGTCTATGCTACAAATTGACGTAGTAAATCGAGAGATAAATCAATCAAACATGGAAACTGGTCAAGTGAGAAAACAGCATGGCTGGGGTGTGCATGTTAGTTCAAAGACCTATTTTATGTTGTAATGTAAATGTCGTAAAAGTTGTCCTGTATATGTATATATATATATATATATATATATATATATATATATATATATATAGCACTATATCTCAATCACGAGTTGCCTTGTCGCACATTTCAATGTCACAAGATATTGAAGTGTCAGGCGTTTAATGCTATGTAGCTTTTTTAGACATATTTGCATGCTGGCACTGCATCTTGAATCTTTTAAACTTCAGTCATTTAACAATATGCAACAATACTTTGCTTTTTCTGTCGTCATAAATTTTCTTGGTTTAAATTTTGTTTTGTGTGTGCAGTTCGAGTGGCGGCGAAAAGCGACACAAGCGCCGGAGGCATGACAAGAGCTTGGACAGGGAGACAAGTTTGTGATGACACGTACTGGCGGTGCCACTGTGCTGTCAATCAGTTGTTCAAACAAAAAAAAAAAAAAAAAAAAACATGATACCGTGCCACACTCAGCCACCTTTGTACTGTGCTACACTGTGTTTTTTGTCATGTAAGTCTGTGTGCAAGTTGTGTAAAACAAAGACAAATTTGTTAGAAACAGTATTAACATAAGAACCAAGACACTCTTGTGTTCTTTTTCTATGTTTATGAAAGTTTGGTGATACCAGCATTTAGGGGAGGCAAGAATTGTATGACACTTCCAGTAACTGCTGTGTCAACGGGCCAATTGCATAGAAATCTGAACAATTTTTGAATCTACTTTATTTGTATTTTGTATGTTTTTATATTTTTTCAACAACAACTATTGCCAGTTGTCCTTTTAAAAACCTGCCACAGTAAACCACAAATGTGTGGGGTTTGTTTTAATGCCAATATTGACCTGATGCACATCACAATAGAAACCTAAGTAGTAGATAATTGCCAATTCTGATCTATTTCACTGGTATCTTTAAAAGTTGGCTCTTTAGCGAATCTAGTAGTTTTTTGAAAGTATTAAATATACGTTTTATATATTCAGTATATCTAAATGTTTTTTGTGACAGTGACAACTCATATCATTCCAGAGTCCTTTCCTCTGCTGTTTTACCGATAAATGTCTCTCCTTCAAGTTATGTATTTTCCAAATGAGTTGAAGGAATAGTTTGAAATTCTGGAGAAAAAAAACACATTTGATATTGTTGAGTAAAATGAGAAGATTGATACCACTTTCATGTCTGTACACTAAATGTGAAGCTTGAGCTAGTAGCAGACAAGCTTAGCTTAGCACAAAGACAGAAAACAGTTGAACTGGAAGCTTAGCTTTGTGGAAATGTTACAGAATCACCAAAAGATAATTAGACTAATTACAGCTTGCTGTTCTGTACACACGAAAAAAATGTTTTGTTTTCATATATTTTTGTCTAGCTAGCATTCAAATTTAGCATAGAGGCATGAAACAGATATCGGTCTTCTTGCTTTCCTTTCAAGAACATGGATCAGCAAATTTCCTAAAACTTGATATTTGTTGGCAGCTTATTTAAAAAATACATTTAAAGCTCGCATGGCAGCATAGTTCAAAAACTTTCAGTAGTGGCTTTTTACAAAATCATCCAATTTGCGAATTGCTGAACATTAGGACAACTGTACAGACACCTCTGTTTTCCACCTTCATACTCTTCGTCATCTTGTCAGTAAGTGTCATCCATGGACAAATGATCTCCTATCCAAATGACCCTAAACGTGTTAGCATCGGAAGCTAATTGTTTTTTAAAAAACACCTGCATGACGGTGAAACAGACTTGGCTGTCTCGCTGCAGGACCATGGATTCTTCTAAAGATGCAATAATACCCTTTTTCTTGGAAGGGCAACATGTAATAAACGGTAAAGAGTCTTAATGATGTATAATAAATAGTATATTTTATTCATCTAAAATGTTACTAATATATTACTAACATGAAGTCAGTGTTGAAGGCAGGTTTTTTGTTGTAGATGTTATTTTCCCATTGTCTTATTGATGGTTCTTAGTTTTAGAGAAACTAATAAAGGGTCAAAACTATATCAATATCACATATTTTGACCACTTCTGTGTGGAATTCTGCCTTAAACTTGGTAGTTATAGCTGTACACTTTCTGTTGAATAATTTAAGTCACCTGTATAGAAAATCCAACATGTCAGATCTGTTGTTCTATTGTGATTTGTTTCATGAGAATGAGAGCGTGAGAGAGTGAATGAGAGCATAAATAAAAATGTTAAACTCTGCTGCAGTGGTCTGGTGCTTTATTGATCAACTCTCATACTTACGCTTGTCCACAGAGAGGTCGAAGGTCAGGTAGGTAGCAGCAAACTGAAGGACATTTGAACTGTTTTCTGACATAGGAAAATGGTACTATATTTCGTCAATATCATACCATCCTCTGTTCCCCAGAGCTTTCCTATAGGTGATGGTTACTGACCTCCTTGCCTCCACCTCTGACCTCAGGAGCTCCACATCTTTGTCCTCATGGGAGCCAGAGAGCACCCTGCACTCTCAGGCTGAAGCTCCTCATAGTCCACATCCTCAAGATACAGAAGGTGCCCGTATCTTTGACCCATGAGCCTGCTGTTGCTGCTCCCAGAGAGACCAGCATCCCTGTTTAAAATGACTGCATGATTCAGAAACAGTAGGAGGAATTTCTAAAGATGTACTTTCTGCGAGCATTTTTTGAAATGTGTTGTTGCTTTTAGTTGAATATCCCGAAGTAATGTGCTAAGTACAATTTTGAGGCACTTGTTGGTAACTTGAGCCACATTTTGTCTACTTTATTTTGACCAAACACCATCCTGCTGACCCAAATACTCCCTAGAGCACCGATCTGGATTCATCCGGAGATGAAAACAGTCCCAACTTCATCTGTTTGGACAAGCGGCATTCCATGAGAGCTGATAAAGTGAACAACAGCAACCCGACTCTGTGTATCACCCCATATGTTCTGAATACCTTCTATTGATGTGATATCTCTCTAGTTTGATCAAGCTGCTACAGCTAAACAAGCAGCAAGAGAACGTGAAAGAATGTGGGTTTCTTGGCAACAGTCAGTTTCTAGTGAAGTTGCGTTAGTGAAGCCAAATGAAGTATTAACAAAAATAATGTGTTGTTTACTTTTTACTCTATGCTATCTGTAGAACTCTAGTACAAAGAGATGTAACAATTGAGGTGCTGCTAATATACTGAAAAGCAGCCCAGCTCTGATAGTGCCTGTGTCTGCGAGCAAATCGCAGCAGTGATAATATTCAATGCCCAAATGTCATTGCCTCAGAATAATACTATAAGCACACAATGGAAAAACTTTATTTTTGCAGAGCAGATAAATAAATTTCACTGAAAACCGACCATACTACATGTGTTTTCTATAGGCCTACCTGAGATTTCACTTTTTGTGTTCTTGTTTTCACCTCAAAAATATAGAAAATAACTTAATTTTGTAGAAAAATATGCCCTCAAATTCATTTCTTCTCTGTGGTGCACCATACAAACTATGGAAGAGTTGTCATTTTTTTTCTATTTTTTTTCTATTGCATCACAAACTGAGTAAAAAAGTCTTACAAATTTAAATATTTTGTTGCCTTGACAACATGTAAAGTTAGAATGGCTTTCTATTCCTCCTGAATATGGTTTCGTGTGCAGCACTCAGAGGGAGTTGATGAGCAGGGTCTCACTGATCCTCTTGTCTTTTCTTACTGCAAAACAGAGAAAGTACAATCATGCAAAGCTACATTTGTCTGCAGTTTATCTAACAGCCATGTGACGTGTTGTTACCTCTCCCCTGAAGGCTTGGAGGTCATGACCCAGAGTAAATATTCCTTGGCCGCCAAGGAGTCCAGCACCTTGTTCACATCGCTGGTGAAGCTTCCATCAACGTGCCTCCTGCTGAGCGCTTCACCCCGCCCTTCTGTTTCAGATCTAAGTATGTACACATGCACACAATGTAAACACTAACCACTCAGTGTTCGTAATCCCACAAGGTATAGTGACCTTCAATATTTACCTTGGATGCAGCACTTTTCAGAAAATCATCGTTTTTTTATTCCTCTGATTGGTGAAGAAATGGTGCTGCTGTGATCATTTCATGATTGGTACTTTGTTGCTTGCATTTTTTGAGTCAGAAATAATCATCTAAGTTAATAATCATCAGTCATGTAGAATATCAATCAACACAGCGTGAAAAGTTCAGGTGATTTATTTTGGCACAACCACAAGGAACATTAAGAAAACAAAGCAAAGAAAGCAAAAATGGGGCAGGAGAAGCAGTTGATTAGCTCAGTCTCTCTCAGGTCATGGTGGAATCATTTAAAGGCAAGTATGCAGGAAGGCTGGTAGGGGTTTTGGTGCTGTAGGAGGAGGAGGAGGAGGAGAGAAAATAGGAGGGACAGCCTACTCTCTTCGGACTTGTCCAGACTTGAGACTGGCGACAAAGTCTTTGATTGCCTGGTCCTTGAGGTAGGAGCTGACGTCGCTGGTGAAGGTCCCGTCTGCGTGTCGCTTTTCTGCAGCACTGAAAACAGATAGACAGAGAAGAGGATTGAAAATGTTTTATTTTATAGAACATAAAAAAACTTTCCTTTGTGTCTGAAGCAGAAAAATTATGGTTTCTTTGGAAATTGAGATTTACTTGAAATCTGATAATCCTCTATTATTACATGCATTATAAAATTCCCTAAAACACCTCCAGATTTTTTTTTTTTTTAAATCTGATTGTTTCTAGAAGCCAAATGTATTTGTGCAGATTTTACAATATTTCATATAAAGTCAAACATAAAAGTCAACATTTTTGTAGCAGGGTTTTTCCCCCTTTCTTCTCCAATGAACCAGCGTAAGAGTTAGGACTCTTTTGAGGACCCCAACCCTTAGGTTGAGAACCCCCAGATTAGACTATCAAACTGGTTTAAACCGGACGAAATTACATAATAAAACGGCTTACAGTCGCTCCAGTCAAAAGGGGACATTTTACTGTGATTACTTCCAACTTCATACAGAGTACATTTAGCTGAAAATACTGCAGAATTTAAATAGGCTTAAATGCAAGACTTATACATGTAATTTTATTTTTTATTATTGTAATGGTACTTACACATAAGGAGTGTGTCATTGTTCAAGAAACAGTGCAGAACAAGTCAAAGCTTTTTAAAATCGAATTCTTATAATTTAAATAGGTTCCACACTGACCCGCTCCTCTTGTTGCTCATCAGCCATCGAACAAAGTCCTGCGCCTTCCTGTCCTCCAGATATTTGCTGTAGTCGTTTGAGAAAGTTCCCTCTGAGTGCCTCTTCATGTTCGACAGCTCCCTCGGCTCTTCACCTAATGTGTTGTCTGCCTCAAAACTACAGCAGGTAAAAAGAAAACTGTTTGATAATCCTATCATAAGTCCACATTAACAGCTTCATCATTTCTCAAAAAAAACAAACAAATGATGATAAATGTAGTTTATCATCTTCTGTTTTAAAAGTTTAGTGGCCAAAACATTTTCTAGGTCTCATTTAAGTTTTGATATTTAAATAAACTAAAATTTGAAATGTTTCAATTTAAGCTGTACAAATGACATAATCCCTCTATGATAAAAAAAACAAATCCTTCCTTTTTCTTCAAAAACGTACACCCCTTATCCCTTTATTGGCTATAAATCTAAACTAGATATCAGTTTGAGAGTTGCACTTTTTAGGAAGATTCGTCCAATCTTTTTGCACATTTTGGCTCAACATCTGTGCAGATAGGCAGCCGAAAATTTGGCTTCTTTTGAACTTTTTCTCTTTCTTTCCAAAAGTGAAAGAAGCAGTTACTACAGTTACATTATACAAAGAAACAATCGAATTAGTTTAGATTTGATTTCTGTACCTTGAGCTGTCTTCAGCCTCCTGTAGAGGAACCTGCCAGCTGCTCTTGACAAAGCAGAGGACCAGGAGGATACCAGCCATGGAGTGGATGCTTTTCATGATCATGACCTTGGCTGCAGAGCAGCACACACACACAAACATCAAGACAACGTTTGCTCACAGAATCACAGAGTGGATACACCTTTTTATCAATATAATACTCACTTATTCTTCCTTCTTTCCACAGGACGGTGCTTTTAGTTCCTCTGGTTGTTTCTGGTGTCTATCTCTAACTCACCTCACTTACTTTCTGATCTTATATACTGTTACAGGGGGAGGAGGATGGCTCCGCTCAGGTGGGCCAATTTTAACACTTTGTCAGGTCCACCTGTTACTCTCAACCCATTAGACACGGGCCGCGTCACATCGGCCGAATCAACAGGCCGAACATTAGTTGAGAAAGGAAAGGTGCTGTTCATGCGTGATGCCAGCTGGTACTTAGGTGTCAAGATCAAACAACCCCGACTCATCCTGTTAAACAGAAAGTAGGGAAGATGCTTTAATGTGCTACTGTGTCATCATGATGGGAAGTGATTGGCCTGAATGTACTGTCATATCTGGAGGTGAGTCAGTGTTTGAGGATTCTTTCCGATCACTTTTAAAAGGTGGGAAATATTGACTGGGGATTTTTTTTTTGCATCAGTTAATTATTTCCATTACGAAAAAATATATATTCTTTAAAAACAACCTCTCTGTACCACTATATGACTCACACGTACAATGCAACATATGAATTTCTTTGCAAAAAACAAAAATATATCCGCCTATGTTCGTGTCGTTTAGTCCAAAGATTCTCATAAAGGTATGCTGAATCCTGTGAAAGCTTCTATCTTTTTATTATTATCTTTAACCTTTAATGATTTAGATTTAATCATCTGAATTTGATACTGATTTTAGGTTTTTAAACTAACCTGGCCAATACTTCAGTTAAGTCTGTACAAATATCTATCTGAAAAACATGTGACATTTGGACTGTTGTACTTTATTTTTGTTTGCAAACTAGAAAATGTGCTAACGTGCAAAACTTAGTGTTGAATCATTTCACTCTGAAAGAACGATGAGAAGTGTAAGTTATGTTTGTTAACTTAAGATTGGTCAACATGATTTTCTCGACACAAAGTTATCACTTTTAATTTTTTATTTTATTTTGCAAAACAATCATTTCGTTAAACAGTCAACAATCTCATACAGTTAGTAAAACAAATACAATTACTTTGTTATGTTTCTGTGAATAATTTATGACAAAACAGTAAAAACTCTTCATATCATTTTATTCTTTCACATATTATACACTGATTATCTTCACCAGGTCAAGTAATGGCCACTTAACAAGTTGATTTTATGAAACACATATGTTATAAAATAAATCATGTTCATCGGCTAAATGTGTCACAAGTAGAACCTAAGTTATAATTTACTGATGTGTGTTTAACTGAAGATATGTATGATGATGTCATCAAAGCCCTAATAATCAAGTCTGCATTTACAATTTCATTATTTTCCCCCCCAAGTCATTTCTCTTTATTTACGTGGAGATAGATCTTGGTGGAATTCATTCAAAGCACCTCAAGAGGAAGTGAGACATGTGGGTGTAGACGTGCTGGTAGGCAGAGCCTCCGAGGCCGTGATCCTTGTCTGTGTACCACTGTAAGAAAAAGGTCAAAACAAATTATTACTAATTCAAAGCCACATTATTCAACATGTCTTTTTTTTTTTTTAAACCTAATCAGATTTTTCTTGTTCCAAATCCTAAAAAAAATGAAAAGTCCACTTTGTGTTTTCCAGATTACTCACCATTGCCTCAAAGTCAACCTGCTCGTCCACTAAGGCCTCAGAGATCTCAGCTGCCTGCTGGAAATGTACGTTATCTACAAAACACATCAACAGAAAGTAAAATCAATTATCAGCAACAAATGCACTCAGGTGGCTAGAATAAAGGTCACTAAGACGGCAAAATCATTAAAAAAAAGAACTCACTCGACAAGTACATCTGTTAAATCTAAATGAATGGTTATACATTGTGGGGAATACACATATTTGCTTTGTTAGACACCACTGTCATAAATAGTTTCCATAAATAGCCATAAATGGCTTGGCTAGTGGATGAATGGAAACAGAGGGAGGACAGCTTGCCTCTGTCTGAAAGTAGCTCAATCTGCCTAGTAGCACTGTTAAAGCGCGGGTCAATCATTATTTCGGATCAGACAGGACAATAATATTATGTTGACCCACAAATTCTCTTCTCTGACTCATTTTAATGAAACATCTTAGTGCCCAGATTAAAAGATGTTGGGAATAGTTATTTAATATATCAGGATGTTTTGCACAAAAAATGGGGGTTTGGTGAACCAAATTGGGAATTGCAGTGACACATTATAAAGGGAAAAAAGAGGAAATGTACAAAATCAAAAATAAACATGAACATTATTTATAAAGCCATGCATGACTCACCGTCAGCTGTCCCATGCACCAGAAGATATTGCACTGAGTGGAAGTGTTTGGCCCTTTCTGTTACCGTAGAGTTCTGCACACAAACATATATGTGTTATACGGGTAATTGCATAATGATTAATGATGACCATCAGGTGCAAGACATGAGAGCTTACAGTATGTCACTTACATCGTAGTAATGAGAATTCTGTGAAGGCTCCAGCATGTAACGCTCTGTGTAGATCGAATCTGGAATAGACATGTATGTGTTAACGTGAGTTTATTAGGTCTGGGGTGATTGTGAACATTGAAAATTGTGTTTTAAAATACCGTAGTATTTCCATTTGGAGACTGGAGCGACTGCCATTCCACATTTGAAAACTCCACTTCCAGCTCCCAAGGCCATTGATGTCACATATCCGCCATAAGACTGTGAAAACATGTCATTACTGTAGCTCAACCTAACCCTAAACCTTAAGTAAAGACCAGGGCTGTGACTGTGAGGTGAAACATTAACTTGTTTTCAAGGCCATTGAAACTGTAAATTACCTCATGTAAACTGGATATGGCTTGAAGAACATAAAAGATAGAACTTTTGATTACATGATGACACTTTGTTAACTTACCCAGCCCCAAATAGCAACTCTGTCTTTGTCAATGAATCCCATTTTGATGAATTCCCTGAAATACAAAGAAAGGGAATTCTGTTATTTAAAAGGATGTAAACAGGTAAAAGGCCAAGTGATGATCGCCCATCATTCGGTGACACTTGTTTCATTTCCTGTCTGTGCTGTTTCAGCCCCAGAAACAAGTTAAATCCAGTTTCATCGAGCTTGAATCAGAGGATGAGGCTGTTTGTTTTGACCGTCAGATGCATTGACTTGTCTGAACTGCTCCTTTCCTTACCTGGCTGCTGTTATCTGATCTTCCACCTCATAGGTTCCCAGACGTTTGTAGATAGCGTGCATTAACTCGTCGCCTTGGTAGCCGCTTCCTCTTCCGTCAAAGCTGGCGACGATGATTTTCTCAGTACTGGCCAGGTAGGTGGACCAGCCCACCCTGTAGGCGAAGTCTGTTTTCTGACTGCAGGGACCAGCATATCTGGAAGATTTCACAGAATGGGTCAACCTGTCCTCGAACACTTTAATTTATATTATATACACTTTATGCATCCTCTTACACATCTATGAGTAATGGGTACTTCTTGGATTTATCAAATCCTGGAGGCAAATACATCTGGTACCAGAGATCTGTCAAAAATATAACAGAAAGATATCAAGATGAGAACTACGGTGCTTGAGTGTTGGTGCTTTGATACTGTCCATGAGTGGTTCAATTTAAGTTTTAAATTCGTAATTGTTACATTCACTTACTTTTCCCACCAAGTTTGATGGAGTCTCGGCGCATTGTGGGCATTTGGATTTCAAGTATTTGGGAAGTAAAATCAGTATTGTCCTCCAAAACCAAAATCTCTATAAAAGAAAAGAAAAGAAATACAGAAAGCTCTTTAAAACAATAGAAGGTAGAGGCCGGGGGGGTATTATTCTAAACAATATTGTCAATTACCTTGGTTTTTCGTGGTATCCCAAAGAGAATGGAAAGGAATCCTAGGACCTTTGCAAAAAAAAGTACACATACATTATCTTATTTATCACTTCTATGTTTTTTTTCCACTGTATACAAATTTGATAATATAACAACCTTTAAAGACAAGTTTCAATTGAAAAAAAGAGAGGGAAAGACACAAAAACAAAGTATAACTGACCACTGCAGCTCATACGGTAGAAGGAGGCATTGTGGCTGAAGTATGCTGAGTTATACTGACACTCTCCATCACGCACCGCACAAGTCAGACATTTGGTCTCTTTTGAGTTTTTCCTGACACAAACAAACACATATTTTGTTAGTCAGAACAAATGCTTTTCTATCAACAGTGATGTCTCAAATAACAAGCCGAATGAGTTCAACTTGAAAGTAAAGACCCTCACTTGTAAACATTCCTTCCTCCTGGTCTGCCGCCATCTTCATTACTTGAATAATATCTGTGGAATAATTGTTATGCATGATAAGAGACTTTCAGCTGCAATAAATAAAGTATCCAGCTCATGGGAGAGAACATTTTTCTCTCAAGATCTATCGACAACAATGATATTTCCTGAGAAACAAAATATGCGCTGTAACATCCTGCACAGTCATGCAGTGGGGAACATCATTGATGTGTCATTTTCTGCTTAAGAGAAGCTACGCACAAGCAAGGTTTTTATGCATATGAATAAATCTGTAACAGAACTTACATACTATCTGCCGTTACTTTCAGAATGCTGACGACTTCCCATTGTCCCGTGGTGATTGCTGTAATTTTTCCCTACAGCAATGAGACAAAACGTATGGGTGGTTACAGGAAAATTGAGGATATACTGCAATCTTTGATATTATGCACGTTTTAAAATAGAGCAGATTTCCCCAAAACTGGGAGATTCACTTAAAGAAACATTTTTACCTACATTGTTCACATGATGGATGTGCTTGTATCCATTTTTGTCGCTCATCAGGAGGTAGTAGCTGTTCCTGTCTGCAGCAAAAACTGGTTCTGGAGGGGAAAACTAGAAAGAACAAGAGGATTTTTTTTTGGAATTGGTTGATAGAAATAAATACAAAGATCACCTGACATCCTTTTACAATGTGCTGAACTTACCCGTCCAATCCAACCGCTGGTACTTTTTAGTTCCAGTTGCTGTAAAAAGATATGAAATTGTTTTTACAGCTTCACTTGGTGACATTTCACAACAAAACACTGAATCATCCTAAACAGAAACAGATGTTTCAACACAGAGCTGAACTAAGAAA